TCCTGGTCGACGCGGCGGGCAGTCCGCCCGACTCGCTCGCGATCGTGAAGGGCGCCGTGTGCGACGCCGCCGCGACGGACGTCCTCGCGCTGCCGCTCGCCGCGGCGGACTGGCAGCAGCGCGCGGGGTGGTGGCTGCTGCACGCGGAGGCGCGCCTCGACGCGTTCCTCGAGAACGCGGACGCCGCCACTCTCGACGCGCTGCTCGCGGTGCTCCCCAACGCCTCGCTTCCGCGCACGAGTGGCGGCGGGCGCAACGGCGGAGGCAGCGCGGGGGGCGCGCGGAGCGGACAGGGTGGGAGGCGCATGGGGCGGGAGCTGCTGATGCGCGCAGTGGGCCGCGCTGCTAGGCAGGGGGGACAGAATCAGGGGGGAAAGCAGCAAGGGGGAGCGCAGCAGCCGCCCGCAGGTGGATTTTCAGGTGGTGATGGCGGAGTGAACATCACAGTGAGCGGGTATGCTGTGCTGGCGGGCAGCAGCGCAGCAGGTGTGACATGGGGCGGACAGCTCATGGGGGCCAAAATGCCCGCTGCTGCTGTTTAATGCTTAACTGCCGTCCTGCTCCGCCTGCTGCTGTTGCTGCTATGTGATACGGCGATGGCTGACAGGGTTTGGGGATTCGAATCCAGCCTGATGCAGGCAGAACTTGCTGCTGCTTGATTCATCACTGCTTTGGGGATACCAGTGGCGTCAGCTTGGTGTTTCCACGGTGAACACGCGCATGCAAGGTGTTGCTGTTGCAGCCGGGGGTTTCTTGCTGCAGGCATGGTTGTGAGGGGCTTGTGGGCCTCTCAGCCATGTGAGTAGCTAAAATAGGTCAAATTAGAGCATCTGGTGCAGGAATGCTGGCAAGGCAAGGCATCCGGGGACACCACCAGCTGACTTGCCAGTCTTCCTACCCCTGATTTTCCATGTCAAGTCGTGAGAAATGTGTTCTATGTGTGTTTGTTTGGAGTCAATTTTATGTTTTTCTTTGAGTCTTTGTCACTAGCAGCTCACGAATGTGTATCTGAGTGGTGTGTTGTACTAGGTACCAATGGTTAACCTGTATGCTGTTCACCAGGTACCATTGCTGTCAGCACTATGTGACAACGTACACAATATGAATTCAGGTGATCTGACAAATCCAAGAATGAGAACGGCAAGTATACTAAGCGGTTCACATCACACCGAGAACCAGAACAATAAACTAAGGTCAACTTCCAAAGTTATATGTTCCAATCAGCCAGCGGATTGAGTCGATGCACTGTACTGTATGTTGCATCGAAAGCTGATGCTTACTACCCTCTGCTTCTAGCGAACTCAAGCCACTGCAACAGAGAGAAACAGGGAGCGGACACACAGGGAGGGCAGTTAGGGAGAGGGAGACGACACAGACACAAAGGGATGGGAATCAGGGATAAGGAGCCGGTGGTACAGCATATAGAGAGGCAAAGTATGAATCTCGAGATCAGTGTCCAACCAAACAGTACATCAATCTATGCCATCCCTATCACTGATAAAGTCACCTCTTCAGCCCCATGCCAGCATTCCCCATGCCATACCTGTCTAAGCAGGCCTGCCAGCGTGCGAGGGAGCGCGTGGATGTCCCTCAGAAGGATGTAGTAGGGGAAGGGGAAGGAGTCCAGGTAGCTTGAGAAGGCTGGCACCCCGTCTGAGAATGACACGGACTGCAGGAGGGGTGCAGGAGAGGGCAGGGAGAAACGGGATATGGCTTGTATGAATCTCAAAGTCAGTTCAGGTAGGTTGAGAGAAGGCTGGGACCCCGCCTGAGAATGACACGGACTGCAGGAGAGGTACGAGAGAGGACAGGGAGGAATGGGGCCAAGACAGGGGATAGAAGGGTTGAGGAAACGGAGGGAGAGTGTGTTGCTGTAGCGGTTGGTACCTGAGCAGACTTCAGCTGTTGGTTGGGGCCAAGACATGGGATAAAAGGGTTGATAGTACTGAGAGTTCATTGTGTACGGGAGAAGCAGACAATGCAGGCTTTCTCGGTGAAAAAAAAAAAGGGAAAAAAAGTAGGGCATTCTTGGTTGTCGGGTTTTGGGCAGGTTTTGGGTTTTGGGCGGCTGCAGGTGATTGAGATTTTGTGAGAGTGCGCATACCTGCATGTCAAGGATGGATTCAGAAGGGCTGTCCAGCAGAATGAAGGCCAGCAGCTGCCCCTTGCCCATGGCATGCCGCACTGTGCGCCTTAGGGTCTCCTGGCGCGGTGGACGCACAGGGGGGTTTGGGCAAGGCAAGGAGGGAGTGGAATGCGTGTTGGAGAAGCAATGAGGTTGTGGGTGTTGTGGGAGATGGTTCCACGCAAGGGATGGAGGGGGATGGAGCGGGACAGAGTTGCGCCATGTTATGTGCCATGCCATGTGCATCGTGCCATACCGCATGCCACACCACATGCCACACCACATGCCATACCACATGCCACACCACATGCCACACCACATGCCACACCACATGCCACACCACATGCCACACCACATGCCACACCATACCTTCTC